ATAGCACTCCACCGATACTTTCATTACGCATATACATATGTACATAAAGGGTGATTTTTAAGGGTTAAAGGAAAGTTTTTCAAAAAACCATTCCATTTATCCATATCGGATTTATAGTCGGGTTATATAGATTGACTTTCTTGTCAAGGCTGAGCTAATACAAATGGAATCCAGTTATGGGACAGGATTTCCCAAAACGTTTCCAAGTTCATCGTATATCAAAGTGAATGCCAAGACATGTGATTTCGGTAACTTGCGGGAAGATACATTATTGAGCTTGGCAATAAGTTGGGCGCGTTCTTGGCTTTAATGCAAAATTGATAAGTTTGCAATTTCGTTAACTTTTATCATGTCGTTTTGCTAGCGATTTTGACTGTAATGTAATTAAAGCTGTATTATGCGCAAAAGTAGTCGTGACTACCTTGTCACTTATTATAATTTCTGCAGTACATTCACAAATGATCCAAGTCCACTATCTTGTAGAGGACCTGCTGTGTCTGGATACTTCGCTGATAAATTGAATCGCCTATAGTATAAGAAGGGTTCGAGGATAAAACTCGTAAGTTCTCCTTATTTTATTACAATGCAATCCAACTAGTTTACATTTTTACACCTACTAGTTCATCTTCATCCATTTTCCATGTAAGCAACTGGTATTTTTAACACGGCGATGTCCTACGGGCTGACAGTTGTCTTATTATGCATCAGCTTCATACTAGTTTAATACTAGTTCATTTAGGCACGTTGAATTTCCATTTCACCAAAAAAAAAAAAATCAAATAAAATACAGTTCACCGGCTGCAAGAATCGAACCGAGACTCTCACGCACCACAGTGAAGACCTCTCACCACCAAACTATCGTAATGATATATAGAGGAACGAAATATGCGCACTTCAACAGAAGTTTTTAGGAAATGAAATTCAATCGTGTCAAACTAAAAACAAAAACAATGACAGTCAGTTTCACTGTATGTAGTAAGAACACTGCCTTTCAATTTAATAATTGTATAATTGTCGACGTTTTGGGTTTAATAGTCGTAAACTCCAATGGATATGTTAAGCATTATAATCTTAACTAAATTATTTTTCCAACGCGCGACTGACGGTATATCGCGGCCAAAGTAATGACAACCTTCCTGTACTAAGAGTTATCGCAGGTAGAAGGTTTCTGATCATTTCAACCAGAATATATATCAGGAATGGCTAAAGTAATATTCCGTCACCGTATAATAATTTTTGCGTCAGTTTCTTAGTGCCGAAATCACTAAACATGTTTATTTTAGTTCTCTCGTTCATTTTCGTCATTCGTCATTCGTCGGTCAAAGAAAGTACATCTGAGCGACAGCACTGATACCAGAACAGATCAATATTGATGTAAACAAATGCATGGATGACATACAAACATTCCAAATATGAGGGACAGCATTGATGCCAAAGTTAATCAGCTTTCCCGGTGGTAGCGTATCCCCTTGGCTCTACGAACGCCTCCCTCATATTCGTGGGTACCGTGTAAATGAAAGACGTGGTAATCATCACCTTGGCTACTTTCTGCGCTAGTTTGGGAGGAAAATATGTATTTTCTATGCCCTCGCTTTATTTTCCATTTGTGACGGTATAACTATAAGTTGCCCAGTTGATGACTTTCAATTTGTTTTTGCTAAATATTAAAATGCCAATTACTTTATTAGTCTTTCTTTCAAATTTTAGAACGATTAGGGACGAAAAATCGCAAGATAGGTGAGGAAAAGTTAAATCGAAATTTCACCACTAACGCAAGCAGAAATTCGCCATGTGATTCTCTTCAGGTTTCGGCATAATATACAACCAATACAAATATGCAGTGAATGCCAAATTGCATATGGAACGATTGCACCGTATTTAAAGATTGCTTCTAAGTAGCTCCGAATGTTCCAGACTGGACATATTTCTGTAGAGGACGAACCCAGAGAAGGTCGACCAAAATCAGTGGACTGTAGCTCCGGTCAAGTCCAAAATATATGAAGACCCACGGCGGACACAATAAATGATTGTTAATGAGTTGGACTGGAATGTCATGGCTGTATCGTAAAAAATAAGTAGTCATCTGGGATTCAGGAAGAAATCTGCTTGCTGGCTACCACGAATTTAGTTAGCTCAATTTTTCCTAAACAAAATCGAAAAAGGTCAGTCTTGCAACTTTAGTAAAGGCTAACTGTGGCTGCTATTCCACTAGAAAAGGCTCAGAAGCGAGATTTTGAAGACTGCTTTCAGAAGTGGTTCTATAGGCTTAAGAAATGCTCTGTCTGCTTCTGGCTTTTTTTTCTGGTCAACTTACCGAACTCTTATTAATTCTCTCGTATATATATATGTATATTCGAGCCACTCTTCCAATATTTACCAACAATTGGAGATAAAGACTACGTTTGTCAATTGCACAGCAAGCGAATTAGAGATTCCAAAAGGAGTACATTTGAACTCGATTCACCCTCTGTGGTTACGAACTCTGTATATATTTTACATATTACAGTATCAATCAACATATTTCTTATCTTGATTACAAAATAAATAAACGTTTTTCGAAGCTAATGAGATTCTGTTGGCGGGGGCAATATTGCCAACAGTACAAAAACAACGGTCTGCAATGGCTGACAGCTGGAATTGATATTTTGATGAGGTCCGGATATTTAGCTTGATGACTTTCCCACCATTGAAAAGGATTCTTTTTTCAATTTATATGAATTTCAGCAAGGATTGGATGAGATTTAAAAAAATAAAATACATCTAATTTTGATCATTTTTAATTTTTAACAATCTCTTTAAATAAACTTTGCATGTCGGAAGTATCTTTTTTGATGTGCTCTAAAATTAAGTCCGTTATCTAAGGAGTTTCGTGATTTAAATTTTAGTATCGTGGGTCTACAAAGCTAGCAATCATACTTGGAGTTACAAAAGTTAATGCATTTTCAAGGCAAAATCGTTTTTAAGTCTTCTTTTAACTGTTTAGTCATGCTAGAATCTTCATTCTTCTTGCTCATAGTTCGGAGGTGCTAAAGGTATGCATTGAAGAATTTCGGTAAACTGTAGCAATTATTATTTAATATGAATTTTGTGAAACTCAAGTCCACAAATCGCATGCTAAAGATATTGAAAGCGCTCATTGTAAGTAATTCATGAATTTACTTTTTAAAATGTTATTTAGAATTTCTAATCTCATAGCTTCTTCCTCTAAAGTTCGTATCCTTGAGCGACTCTTTAGCCCATTACTTCCCAAGCATCGAAAACATTAGAATGTTTTAAAAAATCTTTATATTCAGTTCTTAATATAATATAATTGACGCTTTGTAGCCGCTGAAGTGAATGGAGAGAAACACTAACTAACTAAGCCGCCTCCGAACGTTTTACGAGGCGTCTTTATTTCTTGTACGAAATACACTCGGAGGGGTGGACATTCCCTGCCAAAGGGAGACCGCAATTAGAAAATTTTATTTTATTATTTAAATTTATTTTCCATAACTTCCGGATATTGGTGGCACCGGGATATGAACCCGAGCCTTCCGAATGTCAGTATGTAATGCTAACCATTCGGCTACCGCGGCCGAGTATACATTAAAAAAAAAAAAAAAACCATATGAAAAAAATACCTTAGTTGATTAGAAATAATAAAAGTTAAAAATTTTAAAAAATTTAAAAACCGTTAACGACGAACCAATATTTATACATTCACATTCAACACAAAAGATTCAAGACTTTTTACAACCTTGTCCTTGGCAACGGCTAACTAATTATCAATTCTGACAGGTCGTAAAAGAACTTCTGAGGAGCCTGGTGTAGGTTTACTTGCCTTGCATTTCGATTTTTTCATCCAAGAAAGACAAACCCTGCGTCTGAAATCCAGCAGATAGATGGTCTCATCTTTATTTATCTGGTTGTAAATAATCCACGCATTTACTAGAGGCATGTTAGTAACACGTATATCCAGAGGCCAATACCATTTTTTACCTCTAATGCGGATTGTATAGATTATATAGAAATCAGCCAATCATGTTTATCCACTCCTCCCATGTTTTTATTACAATTATTGGTAAGCCTTGGCTGATTCACGGCTATTTTGGAGAACTTATTAGTTTTTACAAAACGTTTAACGGTAATGAAATTAGTCAGGAGTCATGCTACATTGTGTTACTCTACAAGACGGGCAAAAGTTATTTCACATATGATGTATCGATTACCTTTCACTTAAACATTTGGTACCAAATACGTTGCTTTTGTTTTTGCGTCGGTAACTTTTTTAACCATTTCTCCCCTTCGCCGCATGTTGGTTTGATTTCTATTCACTCAGTCTCATTACTTTACGTTATAAAGAAAATATACTTTTCTGCTCTATTTGTATATTTGGTGTGGCAAAATGTGTGCTGTTATTTGGTTAACAGCGCCTTTACATTACGTTATAAAATTTGATTTTGTTGTATTCCTACATACTGTTGCATGAGGCTTTGTATGTATTACCCATTTGTTACATAAAATCAATTATGTCGGTATTTGTTTGGCTATCCTTCGGCTAACTAAAATAATTTGATTCGATGTTTTATGTCATACGAAAGGCTATTGTTTAGGATACCAATTTTATCGTAATATTTAATTACCTGTTTCCTTTAAAACGAAAAATATATATTTTAATGCATTTCTTTTTCAATTTATTTATAAACCTATATATGATATATAGATATTATACATATCGATACAATAAGGACGAATTTCGAAATTTTACAAATACTTATATGTATATATACATTTTCATAATCATACAATTTTTCCCATTAATAATAAACATTTTTAAAAAATCTTGTAATATTTATATATTTACATACAAGTATGCACTATAAACAAATGCATACATATATACAAGTCATGAATATTAAATATTTATAAACATAACAAATAATATATATAATAGATATACAATTTTACATTTACAAATAATTTTCATTACTTTTTTGGCAGAATTTTTATATATACAATATGTAAGCAATATACAATATTTAATATATTCGATGGTCAAATCCTAAAGACATTTTATATTTTACTAACACTAACTATATAATAGCTTAAATATCTATAGTCCTGCTACCATTCATATATTTTTTTGATAAGAATCAACTGCAATGCAGAATTAATATACAATAGTATTGGTCCCATTATTTTCACGACATCCATCTGTTATAATAAAACAAATATATCAAAAAACAAATCTAATAAAGAATGCTTTAATATAAACTTCACATTATTATTATATATTTTTGAAATGTGTAGTTAAAAAAACTTACGTTGAATTTTAGAGTTCCTTATGGCCTTTGGCTACAATTTTTAGCTGAAAATATAATGTATTGTTAGTTAAATTATTAAAAAACAAATATTTATTCTGTCAGGTATTATGTAAACAATAATAGTCATCGGAAAATCTCTGTTAAGCAATGTTAAAAAAATTCTCAACTAAAAGGGTTTGTTAGGTTATTTTAACAAAGTCGTCAAATGATTTTATGTTGAAAGTTATGTAATTTTTAACATAATCTAACCCCCATCCGATATGTAGATTAGTACATGTATGTATATATACACACAAATTAATTAAACAAAAAATTACATTTGGTAGCTTGTGGATTATGGAAAGGCGACTTGTTGTTCCGATTGACCGATTGAATGATGATTTTGAAAATGATGAATAATTCTGAAGTAAACAATTATATTATTTATTATGGGAAACATAAGGTAAAATTTTAATATCATTCATATATGTATACATATGCACATGTATACATACATACTCGTATGTACATACATATATAAAAAAGATTATTTTTTAGCAAAAATTTTGATATTTTTAAATAAATTTAAATTAACCGAAATACAATTAAATACATTAATATTTGCATATACGTTTGGTGCAAGCATACATGCATATACGTATATATGTATGTCTGGCACATGCACATCAACTGTAGAACTTTCACAAAATGGAACAATTTCTTTACACTGCAACTACGGTTAAATAATTACACACTTTCGCACTAATATATATACTTATACAAACAATAACAAAGGAAAAACTACGCTTTTATTAAAGGTCAAGTAAGAAGTTCGTTCGGTTTTTTATTGATATTTCAAAATATGATAACTTTGTGTACATTTGTCCAATTTAAGTCAAATATGTGCGTTTTGTTCGTATACCCTCATTATACCCCTCTCGTAGAAGGCTGCGTCTCTATTGGCAAAGAACTCGGAGAGCAAATTTTCACCATTAAGCGCGTGATCGAAGAATAATTGTAAAATTGTAAAATATAGCGAATTTTCTCTTTACTGGGGTCCATCTTTGACGAGCGCTCACAACGTACAGAGTCAGTCAATCGAAAAACTGTCAAAGACACACTTTTAGCGCGATTAAACATGTTTTTAGCATAGTATAGTATGACATGATGCGACACGTAACACTAGTACTATGGACAATAACGCCATCTCATAGATAAAACGAACTTTTTTCTGAACTTGTCTGTCCCCTGATCGAAAAAACACAAAACCAGATCGATCATGTTGTGATAGACGGAACACATGTCTCCAGTATTCTTAACGTGAGTACACTCCGAAGACCCAACATCGACTCGGACCACTATCTCGTTGCAGCGAGGATACGCATGCGCCTGTAAGAACAACGCTCGTCAACAAACACAAGGAAAGCTCGACGTTGAAGAGCTACAATCTCAACAGACTGCCGAACGATTTTCTACTCGAAGTACACTTCTGCTCTCTGAGAGCACTCACCAGCAACTCGGTATACGGGACCTGTGAAACGTCATCGCAAACTTCCAACGTACAGCTGCAAACGAAACTAATGGATTTCGGGAAGGTTGCAAAAACAGCTATTACGATGAGGACTGCCGTTTCGAGGTGGAGTGAAAACAGACTGCCTACCTTGCAACGCAGCTGTAGACAAAAAAAGAAAGAAGCCAGCATGCGTGAGTATGATGAGCTTGAAAGGCTGGCCGACAAGGGTAATGCTCGAATATTCTATGAGAAGATACGACGACTTAAAAAGAGGTGATCTAGCCACCGATGCCCAGAGTATACTGAATTTATAGAGGGAGCACTTCTCCAACCTGCTGAATGGCAGTGAAAATGAAATACCCGGAGATGGTGAGCCCGAAACCCCAATCGATGATGTTGGAAAAGACGTTCCATTACCTGACTACGAAGAAGTTCGAATAGCAATCGCTTACTTAAAAAACGACGGGAGCTGACGGCCTACCGGGCAGAACTATTCAAACATGGCAATGAAGAGCTGACAAGGTGCATGTATCAGCTACTTTTCAGAATATGGTCGGACGAAAGCATGCCCGACGATTGGAATTTAAGTATGCTCTGCCCAATCCATTAAAAAGGGGACCACACAATCTGCGCCAATTACCGTGGGATAAGCCTCCTTAATATCGCATATAAGGTCCTGCCAAGCGTATTGTACTGAAGCCCACCGTCAACAAACTGAGTGGACTTTATCAGTGTGGCTTCAGACCTGGTAAGTCAACCATTGACCAGATATTCACCATGCGCCAAATCTTGGAAAAGACCCGTGAAAAGAGGATCGACAGCCACCGCCACCAAGATTATAAAGCTGCCATCGACAGCACGAATAGGAGCTGCCTCTATGCCGCTATGTTTGAATTTGGTATCCCCGCAAAACTTATACGGTTGTGTAAGCTGACGCTAGACAACACCAGAAGTGCAGTCCGAATAGTCAGAGTCGTGTGATTTCTTCAATTTGATGCTCGAGAGATTAAAGAGAAGTTACAATCTTCTATAAGAGTATACAACTACTGGCGTGCGCCAATGATATTGACATTATCGTCCTCAACAACTGCGCCGCTAGTTCTGCTTTCTCCAGTCTTGATAAAGAAGCGAAGTGAAAGGGTCTGGTAGTAAACGAGGACAAACCGAAATATCTCCTGCCATCAAGTTAAGCGACAAATTGTTGCAAAGCAAGTTCTACGTCAATCCTCATCCTTTTAGAGAACTATTAAAAAAATCATATTGATGTCTTTATCGTTGGACGGCTATAAAGCATATCGAATTTCATCACTGCTGAATACAATTAATAACTTAAAAATGACACATACATAGTTGCCAATTTTATTAAAACACCTAGGAAAATACTTAAAACCAAATACAATAAACTGTATAATTAAACGAATTCAAAATTAACCGCCAAAATAGACAGCTGTTGTACAACTTGCTAGCTAATTTTTACTAGAGCCTGTTCGTAGAAAACTCCATAAATTTCTTCCTTTCGGAGAGTAAAACATCTTGCTCTCTCAATTTCGCTATTTGGTGGTTTTTACTGACACTTCTCAACGAACACGTCTTTTAAGTGTTTGAATTTTCCCAGCACAACTTTGCAACTTTCTCACCAAAATAAACGTCAAAATTGCGCTCTCTCGTTACCAATTTTACTTAGTTTTTGGCTCAACGAACACGATTAAGTAAAGTCCAGCAAAAGTCCACACATCCCCTCGAAAAAGATTATTTAGTCCACTTCTTGGAAAGAAAGAAGCACCAAATTTCAAGTTAATTGAACTATAGATGCGATTTTGGGCTATTTATATACCATATTTTATGTAAATTGAAACAAATACGATTTACCAGCTCTACGTGTAGTTCTCGGAGAAAAGGTTATTCAAAATTATTGTGCGTTCGTTGTTCATTGTTTTAAAGCTCATAATCGTACATATTTATGCATGTACGTAGGCAAATACTTTCATGCTATTTCATCACCCTTGGTAATTCACATCTCTTTAAACTTACTTGAACTTAAACAATGTTGCATCATTCTCGATCGCGGTATAAAAGAGCTGAAGTTGTATGCAGTCCTTTGCAGTTTGCATTTAACCGCATAATGATTACTACGCTAATGTCAGTTTATGGCAATTTCTTGATAAATTTTGAATTTGGGTACGATTATTAAATTTTATGTAAATACATAATGTGATATTTGTATATATATAGATATGTATATATGTATGTATAAATTTATACTGAAAACTATATTTATTCACAGATAAATCAGAGGAAGATACTACCTGGGAAATGAGTCTGTATGCGTTCAACGATCAGAAATTTGTCCGTAAAAAGTGAAAGTCGAATATACGTACGTACATATAAAGCTCAGAAGGAAATAACCACTCCAGAAAATTATGAATGATAGCAGTCCCATGAGCCCAGTACATGGGTACGGTGGCGCTCAGTTATCACCAACAGAAGGTGTAGATGATTTTCAGCGTTTACACAGCCCTAAAACAGACTATTCAAGCATATGTGGGAAGAATGTTTTGGTCAGTCCAACAGAGGAACAGTTTGAGCTGCTAAAAAAGAGGCTTGAAGAGCGTACACTAGATTGCCGGGGTGAAACAATATACGAAATCGGCATAGGGGATGGTAAATTCAATATTTTTAGTAGAATAGCTGATAAATAACGGTTTGATGATTATGCAGATGGTAGCGATAATGGCTTGGATGAAGAAGAGTATAGTGCTTCAGTTGCTACATTACAATCTTTGGCCGCAACAATTGATGCAGACGTGGTATTGTTGAGGCAACGTAAAGTCGAAAAAGGTCTGGCAGGGCAATATTTGGTTAGGAAACGCGTTGACACATCGGATTTTATGGAAATACGGTAATAATGTTGAACAAACAAATTAAAACTTACTTATGTTGAAATCCAAATATTTATATCAGGGTCGCTGTCGTTGGTAACGTTGATGCTGGAAAATCTACTTTGCTTGGTGTATTGACACATGGTGAGTTAGATAATGGACGTGGACATGCTCGACAGAGATTGTTTCGGCATAAACACGAAATGGAAACAGGACGTACTAGTTCTGTAGGGAACGATATTTTAGGTGCGCAGAGCGAAAGATGCACTAGTTAAAAGGTTGACTTCTATATAATATATTTTTATATCTTGTAGGATTCGATAGTGTTGGAAATGTTGTTAACAAACCAGATCACGGCACTCTCGATTGGGTTAAGATATGTGAGAAATCGGCGAAAGTAATTACTTTCATTGATTTAGCGGGCCATGAACGCTACTTAAAGACGACTGTGTTTGGCATGACGGGACATGCGCCGGATTTTGGTATGCTAATGGTAATAAAAAAAAAACACACACATTTCGAATCCATTCTGAATTTGTAATATTTTAGATTGGAGCTAATGCTGGTATCGTAGGTATGACAAAAGAGCATTTGGGACTGGCTTTAGCATTGTCTGTTCCTGTATTTGTGGTCGTTACAAAAATTGATATGTGTCCTCCCAATGTGCTACAGGACAACTTAAAACTACTTTTTAAAATACTAAAGTCACAAGGTTGTCGTAAAGTACCTGTAATGGTCAAATGCGCCGATGATGTTGTTTTGAGTGCTACAAACTTCGTTTCTCAACGCTTGTGCCCGATTTTCCAGGTTTCCAATGTTACTGGTGATAATTTAGACCTACTAAAAATGTTTTTAAACTTATTAACGACACGAATGACTGGACAAGACAACTTGCCGGCAGAGTTTCAAATTGATGATACCTACTCAGTACCTGGTGTGGGCACAGTAGTTTCTGGAACTTGTCTACAAGGTTTAATAAAATTGAATGACACACTAATGTTGGGACCAGATGCACTGGGCAATTTTATACCGATTGCAGTAAAGAGCATTCATAGAAAGCGGATGAATGTAAAAGAAGTTCGTGGCGGCCAAACAGCTAGTTTTGCCTTGAAGAAGATTAAACGATCTCAAATCCGTAAAGGAATGGTAATAACCCTTTTATCTTCGTTTTTTGCTTTATTTTTTAATGAAAATTTCATGAAGGTAATGGTGAGTCCAGACATAAAGCCACAAGCATGTTGGGAGTTCGAGGGCGAAATTCTTGTACTTCATCATCCTACAACTATATCCTCCCGTTATCAAGCCATGGTACACTGCGGAAGTATTCGACAAACAGCTTCAATCATCAATATGTCGAAGGATTGTCTACGTACAGGCGATAAAGCCCATGTAAAATTTCGATTTATTAAGCATCCGGAATATATACGGATTGGACAGAGAATGGTGTTTCGAGAAGGTCGTACGAAAGCAGTTGGTAATGTTCTAAAGCCGATAACGAATTCAGTTGCTGTACAACTTCGAGCGAAGCCGAACAAAATGCAGGCGCGGAGTCCCGGTCATAGCCAGGGAAATTCCAATGCGGCGCTACAAAATCAAAATCCGAATGTACAAGCGTCATTATTTAAAAATGGGAAGCAATTGCCATCGACAGAAATAGAAGAGATAAAACAAAATTTAGAAGGTGTACTGGAGAGCTCTATTGATAAACGCGATTTGCGTACTGCTAAACACCAGAAGCGCAGTTCCAACAACCCAAACGCAGCATCAGCAAGTGGATTAGGTACAGGATGCTCCGTTAGTAATTTACCAGCAAACATCTCGCACACGGCTATTAAAAAGTAATTTTTCCAGATTTAATCTTTTTGTATTATTATTTTTATTTTTATTTTAGTAAAGTGAATTACTATCTTTTTTTTTATTGAAATAAAAAATAATTTTACCATTATATTGGTTTTGTAAAACAAGTGAGAATCGGTAAAAAATTTTCTTAAATTGGGATCAACTTATTAGTAATATATAAATTTCTAAAATCTTAAGTACTTCATTTGTATTTGAAAGAAAATAACCAAAAATTTCATTAACTCAATTCGAATTCTAATAATCAATATAATCTTATTAGCGGTTATTGACAGTGTATCTCCTCGCTCCAAATTTTTTAGTATGTAATTGCCATTGTCGGCTAACTTCTCAAACTCTTCATACTCACACGTTTCAGACTTTCACTTATTTATTCGTAAGTACGTCTTGCTTTGCTCTTCCATGTATATGTATGTACAAATATACCACTCGGCACGTGTTGTGAACGATCCCAAGGTTGCGAGGATATGCTTTCCCACCATTGCGACTCCGGAATCCTCATCGTTGCAGCTCTTCTTTTTTTTATTATTCATTATACATGTAATTGGAACTTTCTAACCGCTGAATATTCTCCTCCAATTTGGGGTATGCGTCTTGATAATTTTCCAGCAAATGGTGGAACCTACAGTTTATACTAAGCCGCTTCCGAATGGATGATGGTTTTATTATAAGGAGCTTTATTTCATTTCAGAAATACATTTGTCAACCACATTCCCTGCTCAGGGGCGGCCACAATTAAAAAATGTAGCTTAATTTTTTTTTGTATTTAAATTAATTTTATATAACTTATGACTTTTTGAGTGTTAGTACGATAACAGGATTTGAACCCGAGACTTCCGAATGACAGTATTGCAACGCTAACCACTCGGCTACCGCGGCCGCTCTTCTTTTTTTACCTTGTCGAAAAAAATTATTTCCTTTAGCTACGTCAAACAATTCCAGTATGTTAGGATGAAAATGACTGCCATCAGAGAGCAGAAGTGCAATTAGAGCAGAAACCCATTCCGCTGTCTGTTGTGTTTGCAGTTTTCGACGTCGAATCTTGTTGACGGACTTTATTTGGTGCGTATCACACTTCGGCGAAAAATTGAACGTATGGTTATTGTTTAAGTATTAACTTTTTGCATTCTCAGTCGTGTGATTGGAGATGGAATCGTAAAATGGCTGATAGCCAGTTCGTCTGCTCGAATTTCTATTTTGTGCACGAGCCACAACTGGGATTCTTCTAGAGGTTGGGGTAACGACCTCCTAATAAGATGGATATGGTGCGATCGTAAATTATTCTCCGTTTGAGGTGGTGCTTAAAAACACTACTTGTCAAAAAATGTCATCCCTACTACGCATTATATAATGTATTTAAAACCTACCTAGAATTGTTATTAAAAAATTTAAAAAAAAAACTGAAGAAATGAAAATGAAAGATTATAGGAATACTGAGATTTGGGCACACAACCCAAAATCCTTTGCAGCAATTTCCCGATTTGATAATTATTGGAGCATTTTTAGAATGCACAGAAAACGGAATATTCAAAAGACTATAGCAATACTTAAGAGAACAGTGTACAAACTTCGACGTTTTGGAACTCGTCCAATTATGCTTTCTATCGTATTATTTGTTCATCAAACATTTCCCTTAATTACAAATTTGATTGCATCAAAGTTCGTATATATATATTATTTGAATAAACTTTAAACTCGGGTTAATTCTAAAGGGGATAAACATTTGGAAGCAATCAGCGGATATTTTTAATTTCATGACGGACATTTAAGGAGGAAATACCGAATATGCATATTTTAATATTATATAACGGAAACAATTTATATTCTGAAAATATAATATGTTTTTTGTATTGTAACTTTATCAAATTTTTAACGAGACTTCTTTTTAATTTCGTCCTTCACTCCCTCAATTTCTTTCTTAAGATTATTTTTAAAAAGTGCCATAAAAGACCTGAAATTATATGGATTTTTTACATCACGCTAACTTCTTATATATATCTTTTACTTACTTAAAACGTTCGGGCGTCATGTCATGTATACCTCGCTCCTGCGCCATATTTTTGGTACGGTAAAGAATGGATACAACCATTTGAGCAGCGCGCCGCATCGGATAACTTTCGGCCATGCGTTGAATTAATTGTTCATTGTTTGCCAAATACCGGAGCAAAAAACGAAATACCATTTTGGATTCCGACCAGTTCTATATATTTGAATGGGGATTTATCTATAGTTGAGTGTCCTTATACTTTCGAATGAGTTGCTGCTTTAATTTCAGCTGGTTGCGAAGAAGTTCTAACCTTTGCAGTTGCTCTTCTTTATTGTATTCTATACCTGGTAACTGTTTTACTTCATTTCTTGCAATTTCAAACCTCTTTTGCAATTCCAGTATCTAAATAAAAATTATATTTGGAAAAGAATTTCAAATATACGCCGATAGAGTAACTTACCTTTTGACTGCACTCTTGGGATTCTTTTTGTTTAGTTGCGTTGTCAAGAGGATCCTTTTCGACACTACCAAAAGAAATATTTCAATTATTTCATTGTTATATAATTTATCAGATTTTTCCCAAAAATTTACTATATATTGGGAAACTTTCTATATGATGTGTAAAAATATGCCCGTCTTCAGACTATCTTTCAACTATAACGTAACTCATTGTTGTCAGATAAACTCACCAGCGTATAATCTCGTATATGACAGGTAAAATCGCTGTCAAATTCGTACTATTGCCTGTTGTAGGAGAAGATGGACCAGAAACTTGTTCAGGTGTAGCGCTATTCCCAGCGGCGTTCGGCGTTTGTATTAACCCGTCCGGTGTTAAAATTGGTTTTTTATCTACTGACTGTCCCCCAGGAGATAATTCCATGATTTCAAATTATACCATAAATTCAAATTTCCATATTTAAAGCGCAATAATACGACAAACAATCCAATGTCTACATGCAAATGACAAATATTCATAAACAAATGAATATCGATTTCGATTATTGCAGCATACGAGCTTTACGTGTCAAATAACATAAACTAACTTATACTTTGTTCGGATCGTCATCGAAAACACTTTGAAAACGAAACGGCACCTCATACGGCCTTTCCACGGTAGCCCAATTAAGTGTTTCGCTCTCTCAATTACGAATGCGAATTACCCCCATTCACACGGCACGCAGTTTGACAGTTTTCGGTTTCGCTTATTGTTCGTATTGGAAAACGTATGGAAAATGAAAGATCTTGATTTGAATTGGAAATGTAATTCCAGTTTCTTTAATAATTTCTAGTTTTTTTCTTCTTTACTATACAATTAGTCTTGGCTTCAAATCAATGTTTGTGTCTAAGTGTCTTCTTGTATGATTATCCTATCTTTTGTTTTGATCTGTCAGCTGGTTTCGATGAAAATTAGAGAAGCCATCGATTTAGTCGAAATTGTATGGCATTTGATAACGAATTACCCACTTTTACTGTAATTCGCTCATGAAAATTTGTATGGCGAATTAAATAATTCGGCACGTATGTGGAGTGCGAATTACGATTGAGGGAGCGAAAAACGTAATTGGGATGCCGTGGGCAATGCAGTATTAAAGGAGCGCTTGTAAAATTAAATAATCCGGAAACAAATGTTTACGATTTGATGATGGGACTTGAAAGGCCAATAGATATTAAATAGATTATATGGATTGATTCGCTAGACTTTTTCTTTGCGTTTTCCGGATACTGCAAATTTAAAAATCAGTGACGGGTAAACATTTTTTATGGTAACTGAAATTAGAGAATTTATTCAATGAATCAGAACCTTTTCTCTGAAAATTAAATGTAAAATTTACTTTATGCTGCGCTGTAGGCAAGTAGTTAGCATTAAGTACTGCCACTCGGCAAGCCAGTATTAGAAACCTGGACAACCAACTGTAATTGCTAGATCAATGAAATTTAAGCGAAATAGCCCCGAGATATTTATGGTTGCTAATTCTTTTGTTTGGTGAAAATTAGTACTTCTTTCCATTTATAATTATTATAAATTTACCATAAAAGACAGTCAAATGAATTAAAGTGAAAATAGAAGAAAGTTTGTCCATCTGTCTAGCATTTTTATTTCGTAATTTAATATTTTTCCATAAGTGGTCAAAGAGAAAGTGTTAAAGTTTAACTATATTGCTATGCTCATACTTTAATCCATCACTGTATATGTATTTACATTGCTTTTACTCGTTTCTGGGAATTTCCTACACGACGTGTCCAAGTTTCTCCAATTACGCTCTTTTAATCGTTATTGGCACTGCAAATTTGTGACAAACTATTTAAGTCGCCATACAAATTTTTGAGAGCGAATTGCGCCAAAAGTAAGTAATTCATTTCCAATTACCTTGTGAATTACGACGAAGTCGGAAATTTACCTAAAAATCAGCTGACAGATCAAAACAAAAAAGATGAAAACCATAAAAGAAACACGTTATGGAGTTTAACTTTTATTTGAAACCAAACGTTATTTGTATATTGAAAATAAAAAAAAATGAAAATTATTATTCAAGTTACTATGAACAGACGGATATTAAACTAAGGGAAAGTTGAAGATAAATTAAACATGGTATAATTTTGAATGTTTTGATTTAATGAAAAATATTTTATACGCATTTTTACATTCGCTTTTTTTAAACAAAAAGGTAGAGCATTTTGGTTTTGAGTTTTCCTGAGCTGCACCTGAAGCCGAAATTGATTTTTACCATCTTTTCTAGAAGAATCGTTTGCTTGTAGAATTCCACATTCTAAGACTTTATATGGTTAGCGGTAAAATATTAATATCAATAATAACATCGCCAATTCAAACAGTGAAGCACAAAACTGTCAAATTGTTTGCAGTGTGAATGGGCTGATTCGCATTCATAATGAAGAGGATGAATAATGTAATAAACGAGGCTGTGGAAAAGTTGTGGGTCTGACATATTGTTACGATTTTGCTGAATCAACTTCGATGATTCTCTGAATTCTTCGGGTACAACCTCTGGATTGTAAAATAAAACTCGCCAACTTAATTTGCAGTTTCTTTCGTTACAAAGAATTTATCTAATGTCCTTTATTGGCTCAGTAATTCACAATTCAATTACAATGCACTTTACTATTTACAATCACTATCATCAACTTTCACAATTTACTCTTCTTAAATGTAATCTCTAACGTGTTTACTTTACGACTTTACTGATGTTACGAAAATGCGAGTCTAGTACTTTTTAGAAAGATAAAACGGGAACCTTCGATAACGAACAACTCGATTATTCTACACTTTCGGCTATGAGCAGCGACTCCTATATAAGGGCGACACTCAGTTGCCAAGAAGTCAGTTACAAAGTGAACTCTTTGGCGTTAACATAAGTAAGTCGTAAAGTAAACACGTTGTAATTGAATTGTGAATTACTGAGCCAATAAAGGACATTAAGTAAATTCTTTAAAACGAAAGAAACTGCATATTAAGTTGGCGATTTTTATTTAACAATCCAGAGATCGTACCCGAAGGATTCAGAAAATCATCGAGGTTGATTCAGCAAAATCGTAACAATATATTGTAAATAATTTAAATTCTTTAGAACTTTTATTGCAATAGGTCTACTAATGATACAATAATTTGAAGCTAGTTTCGGCTTCATAGCTATCTGACATTATAATATATACCATTTTAAATAAAAAAAATGGGGAGAAATAACAAATTTTTTTTAATGTTTAAAAACCAAAATATCACGCATTATATTGTATTTTCTATTCGTCGAGTGTGTACCCTTCATGCCCTTTAGTAAATTTGTAAGAAAGGGAAGAGATTCGTCCCCGAAAATTTAAATTGGATTCCAGAAGACGAGGAGCTGGCTGGCTTTGCTATATCTACGTTTAATGCAAATTATACCAACAGTTTTAGAGTTATTTCAAAGAAATATTGTTTTATTAATTGCTGGTTTCTTGAAGCAGTGCATATTCACTATAAAATCTTCATATTTACCCAAACAGGCCTATTCTGTCGAAGTAATAAAGTTTACTTTGGTATTCAAATTTGCCATTCAGTAAATTTTGTTACTATTTCGTATTCTGAGCTCATTGTCACCCTGTAAATTTTCTTATCCGCGAAATAGGAGGTAAAAAACGAGTTGCTACTTTATTTCATGTTGTTAGTTTAAGTAAAAATAACAACGCTCCGTCTTTCATTTCTTCCTGTTTACTTTATCAACTGGCAATGCAATTTGACACGGTGGAAAAAAAGTGCTGCCAAATTTTTTTCAAACAATGTAACCTGTGCACTAGAATACCTAATTCAATTTCGGGTTTTAAACAAAAGTGATAAAATTTACTTTACCGGAAACAGTGAGAATAGGCCTGTAAAAGTCGATTAAACTTCCAAACACTTTTAAATTCAATCTAACCACTAAATATTGTTACGATTATTTTCTAGATCCTTCGGATACGATCTCTGGATTGTTAAATAAAAACTCGCCAACTTAATTTGCAGTTTCTTTCGTTATAAAGATTCTATCTAATGTCCTTTATTTTCTCAGTAATTCACAATTCAATTATACTGCACTTTACTATTTATAATCACTAACATCAACTTTCACAATTTACTCTACTTAAATGTAATTCCCAACGCGTTCACTTTACGTCTTCACTGATGTTAACGCCAACCAATTTGCTTTGTCACTGCTTGACTTGCAGCTGAGTGTCGCCTTTATATAGCAGTCGGCTGCTCGCAGACGAAAGCGTAGAAGCATCGAATTGTTCGCTATGGAAGGTTCTTGTTTTATCGTTTCTAGAACGTACTAGTTATCGGCTTCTCTCTTTTATCTGACATTCGCCTCGCATTTTCGCAACAATATTATATAACGATATTAGTCAGTTAGTTAGTAAAACAGCTTGTTCGATAACGCAAACGGATCTCTAGATGATGCCTACGTTGGTTCTGTCAAGAAAACTCCTCTCACTTTTCTTGATGCTCAAACCAGTTGTCAAACAATTTTGATACAAAATAGTTTCAATTTAACATGTTTTTATCGAATTTGAAATATAACAATATAATGCAAGAATCGTTGACAAGCGATGAGTAAAAAGGTTATGATCCAAAGAAAACTGGTCATTTTTTCAAAAAACCAATTTCTCTATAATAAATTAATAATAATTGCACTATTATTTGGGAACTAATTTACTGGACAAATGACTCTTTTGTATGGTCATCAATTAAAAAATTTTCAAACATACATGCATATGTGCATACATACATATGTCTGAATTCAACTCAAGGTTGCTCAAGTTTAAATGGTCACATATCCGGAATACGTTGTTCGATTTAATCGCTGTAAAGCTTCTCTACTTATTTAATTAATGTAAATAAATAATTTTGTCAGCAAAAGATTTACTTGCTTTAACTTACTTTAATATTTTCTCTAATACGCATGTTTTGAACACTTTTCCTCCATTTATGCGACCTCACCAAGATCCCAAAAAAGAACGAAGACGTTACTGAAAAATTTTTTTACATATTTTGGCATCTCGCCATTAATTGTCTTAAATTCAATCTCAAATTTAACAACTAAATTGGTATAATGGGCATTAGGCTCCTCAACAAGAGAGTGATGTTAAGCGTAGTTATCTCAGTATTCGATCCACTAGGATTTTTGGCTTATTTCGCCATTTTTTTACAAGTAAAAAATTTGATTTTTTTATTTGTTAATCCAGTGATACTACAAACGAAGGATTTGAGAAATCATCGAGGCGTATATCAGAAAAATCATTCCAATTGGTGTCAGAATTGGGATTGTTAAATAAGCGATACTAAGTTATAATCACATTTTCGAGAAAGTAAGGAAACCGAAGGCATTTACTTGAGCCAATATGGAATCCATGAAGTATGTAGAAGTATTCTCGACTGAGAAGACGCAAATGCAGCAAATGGAGCTGGATAATCGACATCGCAATTGTTTACTTGGAACATTGAGCAGCTGGCTCACTTGGTCCATG